GGCACTGTTTTGAGACCTTTCCTTCAAAGGTATTGTGTTCTCATTTTGCATATGGGGAAACTGAGATAGAAAGGCAAAGGAACTAGCCCAAAAGTCACATAGTAAATGACAAAGCTGAGACTTGAACCCAGGCAGCCGTAAACTAAAAAGTCCGGTCTCTTAACCTCTGGAACAGTAGTTCTCAGACCATAAGGGATTTAGCAATGTCTGGAAATATTTTTGATTTTCAAAATGAGGGGTGTGTGGGTGCTTTTGGCCTCTGGCTAGCAGAGGCCAGAGCTGCTGGTCAATATCCTTCAGGGCACAGGACAGTCCCTCACAACACAGAGTTATCCAGCCCCAAATGCCAACGTGCTTAGGTTAAGAAACAACTTGCTCCATGTAAATAACATATCTCAAATGTAAATCATCTCAGTCAAATTACTTAATATTACCTTTCCCCAATTATCTGAGTAAAATCAGTGCTCCGGGAAGACAAGCCATGTGTGTGTCATAGCTGAGGATATTGAGGATAAGGGCTCCAACCTCAATGACGGGTAGAGCTGTGTTTAAAAACTGGCCCTATCACTCACCTACTGGACGACTTCGAAGCAGTTGCTTCATCTCTTTGGGCTCCCGGTTTTCCTGTTTCCAAATTGGTATGATCACAATCCCTTTCTTGCATAAAGATTGAATGACCTAATATACGTCAGGCACCAGCACAGCACCTCGCACTCTTTGATGCTCATGAAATAGTATTTGTTGTTAGAAATCAACTCGACAGTGTCACGGTGTCGTGTGATGGAGGAGTGCCAGGTGAGTCAGGCAGGTAGCACGTGTAGGGGCTTGGAGAAGGGCAGGATCAGAGAGGGCTTAGGCTGAGCCCAGGGGGTGGGTGGAAGGATTCGAGGAAGACCTTGTAAAGGGGGTGCTGCCTGTGTGGCAGAGGTGGGACTCTTGGGGCATTCAGGGTCCCAATTTTAGGGACGTGTGATTGGAGGAGAGGGATCATTTGGGGAGCAGTGAGCTATAAAAGATGGGGAGTCAGATGACATCCGCACTACGGCTATGTGTTAGGAAAGCCAACCTTTGGAGCGACTGGGGCTCCAACCAGTTAAACAGGCTGCTGAGTTAGTCTGGGCGGGAGTTGCTGAGGCCCAGGCAAGGGAGGCGGTACCAGAAACTAGAGATAAGAGAGCCATGAGATGTTCCCAGGTAGAACCAATAGGTTTGGTGCTGCTTGGACTTGGGGACATAAGAAATGACTCCGGGGTTCTGGAACAATGATGGCAGGAAAAACAAACAGGAAAGTACCACGAAGGGAAATGTTTGGGGTGACCAAACAATGAGCTAGGTTTAAGTTAGGGTGAACTTGACTTGATGGCTGTCGTAAATCGCCCATGAGCATGAAGAACAGAGGCCTTGAAGACTGAACGCAGGTCCAGTGCTTGCGTGCTGGTATCTGAGGCAGGAGGTGCCGCTTTGAGACCTGGATCATGGAATCCCCGCTTCTTCCCTCCTGGCTTCTGTGTATAGTGAGTGGGACACTGCCCATCCTCCAGAGTGAAGCACCATCCCCCTTTGCCTAGTATTGAGACTTTAAATCAGAGCCATCTCAGTTTTGATGCTGTTAACACATGACTCACTCCTTTCTGCCATTCATTCATTCATTCACTCAGGTGTGTCCACACGATACATGGCAGGATGGGTCTTCATGTGCTCCAGGTCATGTAGTCACTGAGAGGCAAGCAGAGACTCTGGGGTCAAAGAAACTCTCGAGTCATGGCTGTGGCCTTGGGCCAAGCAGCTTCGCCCCTCCGAGGGTCTCAGCTTTACCATCTGTAAATTGGGAATAACACTAACCCCTCATAGGGTTGCTAAGAGTGGTGATATAAATCAATTCATTTAGAAGATTACTGTTCTAAGCACTTTGTGGAAATTAACCCACTTAAGCTTCCTAGTAACCCAGGGAGGTAGGCGCTGTTAGAAATCTCATTTACTTATGGGAAACTGAGGCAAAGAACAGTCAAGTGACTCACCCAAGGTTACAGTGCGTTAGGGGCAGAGCTGGGGCTTGGGCTCCAACCTCTATGGCAAGTAAAGTCCCCAGCATAGCGCCTGATTGAAATTGAGAGTTCCAAAATTGTTAGTTCTTCTGCTTAAGGATCCCTGTATTGGGACAGTCACAGAGGTAGTCACCCAAGCACATTGGCCCCACCAGTATTCTTTTTAACCTCTGCGCTGTTGCAAACGAAAGGACAGGCGGGCTGGTTCTCCAGCATGGCAGCCTTGATCTGGGGCTGGAGTTTGCCCAGCTCATCCTTGGGCCTCTCCTCCCCAGCCAGCCTGCTCCATACTTCTCCCTGGCCCAGGCCCCGCTGCTCAGCACACCCATCCAGCAGACCTTGAGAACAGCAGCCTTTGCCCCGGCTCTGAAAACCTGGCTTTTCACTGAGCTCACGGGAGGACTCAAACCCCAGGACAGGCACAGCAACTCCAGGAGGAAGGACATTAGGAAACAGCCCTGGCCCTGGAAGCCAGAAAGCACACAGAGGACACCCAGCCCCGCAGCCACTGCGGGAGAGGACTGGATTCAAGCAGACCTGGGTTCAAGGCTCCACCAAGATATGAATCCCCTCGTGCCTGTGTTTCTTCATCTGTATCATGGGGAGAACGATCCACCTCCCTTGACCAGTGGCTGTGGGGCCTCGCATGGCACAGCCGGGCTCCGCTGGCTAGGCGGCTTCCAGCATTTTACTCAGAGAGCCTATTAGGGCCTATTGTGTGCTGAGCGCTTATTAAACTGAAATCAAAGACCTGCTCTGCGACTGCGTCGAAAGCAGTGACTGGAGGACGATCCTGGCCATCACGGAAGCACGCGCCGTGCCCTGCGGCTGTGCGGGGGAGACCACGAAGGCTTCCTAGGGTTTAGCGACTTCGTCAAAGCCCCTTGTGAGGGGGACTCAGAATCAGCCATTTCAACCCCCGGCTTTATCAGTATGAAGAACAGAAACAACATAGCTGTCCCTGAACCACCTCACCTTTGCCGATTTGAGGGGTGAGCTGCATCTTTTTTGAAAGAATCTTTTAAGAATTTGGAAATTTTAGCAGAAAAATATCACCCATAATCCCACCGCCCATTCTGAACCCCACAGAACGTTTCTGGATCTTGTTGAGATAATGCTGTGAATGGGACAAAAAAGTGCGTTTTATTCAGTTTATCTAAAGTATTTTCCTGGGTTTTCACTGAGTGATTGTGACCTTTTTAATGGCCGGCTATTAAACTGCCTAGATATACCATAGTTAGGGTGATCATCTCCCTGTTTTTTAGTCTTTCAACTCTATAAATCATAGCAGCAAATGTCTTTTTGGTCTATATCACATTCGTTTTATCAATAAATATTTATTGTGCATTGTAATGTGCCAGGAGGAGGTCCAGCCCCCGAGGATGTAGTGATGAACAAGACAAAGCCCCCTTTCTTGTAGGGCCTGCATTCTGGTGGGCAGGAAATAGGTTGATTTAAGAAAAAGGGGAAAGGGGTCAGACAGACTCAGTTCTAGGAGGCCCTCTTGGAAGAGGTGATTAGAGAAAGTCCGGTGTTTCTGATGTTCTGAGAGCAAATATTCCCAGATTCCTAATTCCTAGAAGTGGAATTACTGGGTCAAAGATGTATGATAAAAGTAAGGCACTTGAGACATTTCGCCAATTGTTTTCCAGAGCTTCCAGCAGTGCTTATCTCACAACATCTTCTCCAGCATAGCATATCATACTTTAAATTAGTTTTTTTTTTGCTTCTTTGATAATTTATCACTGTTTTAACTTGCATATCTTGGCTTGCTAATGAGGCTGAACTCTTATTTTTTTATTTTTTTTTTTTGAGACAGAGTCTTACTGTGTTGCCTGGGCTAGAGTGCCGTGGCGTCATCTTAGCTCACAGCAACCTCAAACTCCTGGGCTCAAGCGATCCTCCTGCCTCAGCCTCCCGAGTAGCTGGGACTACAGGCATGCGCCACCATGCCTGGCTAGTTTTTTCTATATATTTTTAGTTGTCCAATTAATTTCTTTCTATTTTTAGTAGAGACGGGGTCTCGCTCTTGCTCAGGCTGGTTTCGAACTCCTGAGCTCAAACAATCCACCCACCTCGGCCTCCCAGAGAGCTAGGATTACAGGCGTGAGCCACCGCGCCCAGCCCTCTTATTTTTAATAGGCATTTCAGCCATTTGTGTTTATTTTTCTGGGAATTGCTTGTTCCAGTCCTGTGGCCTGCTTTGTCTCGTGTGTGTCTGAGCACAAGCACTGCCAGAACTGGACTGTCAAGTGTGTCCAGAGCCACGTAACTGAGAAAGGCTTTGTGGAGAAAATGGGTTATAAGGAGATCTTTACGGCAGGCTGGAAAGAATGTGGTTCTAACAAAGGGTCATTAATCCAGGCAGCATGGCACAGCAATAATTGCTACTATTTATGGGATGCCTGCTTGATGGCAGTCACTTTCCAGACCTTTAATCTCACCATTAATCTCACGTCACCTTTAATCTCATAACCCTGCGAGGTATTGTACAAAGAATTTTTGCCTTTTTATAGATGGGAAACTGACCCTTTATGCTCAGGCCTACACACACACCCACTCAGAAGTAGCACTGCCCGATTTTAAACCAGGTCCAGTGAGTCATGCTTTTTACACAACAGCCCGGTGGTAGGTAAAGCAGGTAGGATGCATACGAGCATATGTATTAAGTCATACATGTACATTGAGGCCACTGGAGGAGGTTTTGCGTACATTTGCAGTTGACTTAACTTAGTGGTTTGCTTTAGTGGCAGCTTGGGCGAGTGGTTGAGGGAGAACCTCGGAAGAGTAAAATGTGGCATGCAAGAGTCCACACTCAGGAGGCGTAGGCATGGCACCTTGCCCTCCCTTTCACTCCCTGAGCAGAAGCTTTGCAACCCAAGCTTCTCCCTCTTACGGCAACTGGGCGCAGCTTCTTTCCATGGCTGCTGCTTTAAGCTGCTTTCCCCTCCACAGAACATGGCTCCTTGGCCTGAGTTGGAAAACGCTCAGCCCAATCCCAATGAGTACATCGAAGAGGCCGCCGGTCAGCAGCCCCCCACCGATGACAAAGGCAAAGAGATCGACAAAAGTAAGTGCCGCTCGCCTGGTCCTAGTCCCACCTTGCTCAAAGACCCGGGGAGGCTCAGGTCTGCTTCTTCATGGCCTCTGTTGCTTGTTTGGGCAGATGACACCAAGACCCCAGTCACCAAGATCGAACTTCTGCCATCCTACTCCACGGCGACGCTGATAGAGGAGCCCACAGAGGTGGATGACCCCTGGGACCTGCCTGCGCTTCGGGACACTGGGATCAAGTGGTCAGGTAAAAGTGCGGCCATCCAGGGCAGGTGGGAGGGGATCTGCCTGTCCTCCATATCACCTCCTTCCTGTCACCCCGGGACACCCCTAGTCATCCTGGTGAGGGATGCCCGCCCCCATCTTTGAGGTTTAGAGTCACAGAACAATGTAGTGACTGGGGACTCTTTTGTCCTTTCTTTCACCAAATGCACCAGCTGGGGTTATAACCAGGCAGACCGGGTTCCAGCTGGGGTTATAACCAGGCAGACCGGGTTCCAGGTACTGGGGACAGTGCCGTGGATACAGTGGTCAACAGACAAGGCCCCCACTCTCAAAGAGCTCCTCGGAGGGGTCCCCTCACCTAAACACAATGCACAGAACGGCCGGACTGCAGCGAACACTCCGTTCTTTCCCAAGGCTATGTGGGGCACGAGGAATGTCTGTGCACCAGACAGCTAGAAGGGAAAGGAGGTGGGAGGGGAAGAAGAGGGAGGAGGAGAGAACTGTTTTGAAAGTAAGTGGTTCAGGATGATGGAACATGGTAAGAAATAAGAAAAAAAAAAAAGAAAAGAAAAAGAAAAAAAGATGAAAGTAAGTGGAGAAAATAGCAGTCAAGGAGGCAGCATCTCAGGGTGTCTGTGGGCCCGAGCCCTCCGCAAATTGAGGCTGTGATTGCTCCTGTGCAGCCACATTCTAGAAAATGTTCTGTGCTGTTCAGAAGGTGCTTCGGAGAGCCATTATCTCCGACCCTGCACTTAGCAGGTGGCCGGTGCTCTCAACTGCCTCGCTCAGTGGCACTGCGGTTCCGCCGAGCACGGAGCCTCATCTGCTTTTCTGTGTCCCAGACCACATCGAGCCCCTCCTCCCACTTGCAGATCCTTTAGAGACACTTCGCCAGGGGTTTCAGCTAAAACGGGCCACAGCGGTGCCTGCCTTGAGAACCGCAGCAGTGGACGCGTCCGTCTCTGAGCCTCGCTGGATAGAAGAGCTTGCAGCCTCCAGGCCGGGAGGGGAGGTGGGGGGGCTTCTGAGCTCATTGCCAAATCTCCGTGTTTCAGACACTGAAAGCCTTCATGCCTTTTTCTCTGCTTCCTCCACAGAGAGAGACACCAAAGGGAAGATCATCTGTGTCTTCCAAGGGATTGGGAAATTTCTTTTGCTCCTGGGGTTTCTCTACTTGTTCGTGTGCTCCTTGGATGTCCTCAGCAGTGCGTTCCAGCTGGTTGGAGGTAGGGATGAAAGGCATAGGGGTCGGGGGTCGAGGGGTCTTATGATTAAATTTGGTTTGGAGAATAAGTCAGCAAAGCCTTCTCCGGCTGCAGCCTCCTGGAGTGTTTTAGGACCGGAGCCCACCTCGGATCATCTTTTGAAGTCTATGTCTCCCATTTTCTAGATTAACTAATCTATTTTTGAGACAGAGTCTCTCACTCCGTTGCCCTGGGTAGAGTACAGTGGCGTCATCATAGTTCACTGCAACCTCAAACTCCTGGGCTCAAGTGATCCTCCTGCCTCAGCCTCCTGAATAGCTGGGACTACAGGTGTGCACCACCATACCTGGCTAATTTTTCTATTTTTTGTAGAGACAGGGTCTCACTCTCGCTCAGGCTGGTCTAGAACTCCTGACCTCAAGCAATCCTCCCACCTTGGCACTCCCAGAGTGCTAGGATTACAGGTGTGAGCCACCACACCCGATCTGTGTCTCTCATTATATAGAAGAGAAAATGGAGGCCTTGGCTCAGGTGGCCTAGGCCAGGAGCCAGGGCTGGAGCCTATTCCAAGCCATTTGCCCACGCGTGCCACACAGGATGCTGTTTGACATAATGACTTATCTGAAGGCTTTCTGCTGTCTGTGGGCCTCTTCCCAACAGACGGGATTATGGAGTAAGAGAGCACTGTCAAGCCAAAGCAAGTTCAGAAATCAAAGCTGGGTCCTTGCTGGGGGACGGACGGGGGGGAATCTGCATCCATTGCAGTCGCCTACACATCTCTCAGGACTGAGTGTGCCTATGCAGTGAGCAGCCCCAGAAATGAGGTCACCGTGTGTGGTCACTTTTGGACTGCACTGGGTGACCACAGCAATGGGCAGCACTCTGAGTGCCTTCTGAGTGTGAGCTTTTCCAGAGGCCTCTCACAAACACTCCTTCCCAAAGCCTTCCCATTTACAGAGGAGAGGACTGTGGCTCAGAGATCACCAGCTGGCCCTGAGAGTCACAGCTGGGAATTAGCATGGTGGGATTCAGTCTCACATCTGGGTGACACAAAAGTCCATAGATTTCTGCACCCCCTTGGTGCCTCTCTTGAAAACCCATCTTTGTGACCTGGAAGAGTTGGGGAGAGAGTAGGTGTTCCTGGTGGGGCATGAGGGGCAAACTGACTTCCTGGACACTGCGTCTGGACCTCCTGGTCCACGGCAGTGTCAGCAAGGGACTTTGTTCCCCAACCATCTCAGACAAGTCATGTCTGTTCTCTGGGCCTCGGTCTTCTTTATGAACAGATTGGAGACAGATGGATGGTCTCAGAGTCTGGGTCTTGGGCTGGGGGGATGGAGAAGATTCACTGTTGGAGGATAAATCTTCTGAATTGGGAATATATCCCAGAGGCAGAGGAATTAGGACATCAAGTGGCTCACTGGCACCCCCTGGGCCCAGAACAGAGTTGAGGCCAGGTTCATGGTCTCAGAAGGCTGGAGAAGGGCTTGCTGATGTGGGGAGAGGTTGAAGGAGGGGAGGGTGCAGGGCAAAGGGGCAAGAGGAGCCAGGGGCTGATGGTGGGCAGGGGAGGAGATCAGAGAGGCCACGCTGGGCAGAAGCACGAGGAAGCACAGTCCCATAGGCAGCAGCAGGACGGGGGCCGGGCTCCCCAGCCTGCAGCCAGCTAGTCTCGATGGGGCTTCTGTTTCCTCAGCTCCCACCTGACCTCCCAAGTTACGTGGCCATCGGTTTGTTTTTCAGGAAAGGTGGCCGGACAGTTCTTTAGCAACAACTCTGTCATGTCCAACCCTGTGGCGGGGCTGGTGATTGGGGTGTTGGTGACCGTCCTGGTGCAGAGCTCCAGCACCTCCACGTCCATCATCGTCAGCATGGTGGCCTCCTCGCGTGAGTCCGAATTCACTCTGATATGCCCGCTGTCTTCCTATCTGGCCCAGCTACATCGTGCTCCACTCTGGACCCCAGGCAGCTTCCGGTTTCCATCTGGCTGGATCTGGAAATGGACCCCGATGCTTGAGGACTCAGTTCTGAATCCTCTGGCACTGTGCTGTCCAGCCTAGTACCCAGTGGCCATATGTGGCTATTTAATTTTATTGAACCTTAATTGATTTAAATTTAAAATATAAAATTCAGTCCCCCAGTTTCACTAGCTGCATTCCCAGGGCTCAAGGGCCACATGTGGCTGGCAGCTACTGCATTGTCCAGTGTAGACAGAGAACAATTGCATCATTGCAGGAAGGTCTCTGGGACAGGGCCACTCAGTATGAAGAATAAAGACGTCTAATCATGTAGCACATGGGCTTGGGGACAACAGAGTTTGGAGAAGTAGCACTCAGATTTGTACCTGCCTGGTCCTTGCTCCAGCTAAGTTGGGATAGACCCTCTGAGGTGAACCAGTTTGAACTGAATATTTTTCAACCCAAACCAACATTTTTTTTTTTTTTTTTGAGACAGAGTCTCACTGTGTTTCCCGGGCTAGAGTGAGTGCCATGGCGTCAGCCTAGCTCACAGCAACCTCAAACTCCTGGGCTCAAGCGATCCTCCTGCCTCAGCCTCCCGAGTAGCTGGGATTACAGGCATGCGCCACCATGCCCGGCTAATTTTTTCTATATATTTTTAGTTGTCTGATTAATTTCTTTCTATTTTTAGTAGAGACGGGGTCTCGCTCTTGCTCAGGCTGGTTTCGAACTCCTGAGCTCAAACAATCCGCCCGCCTCGGCCTCCCAGAGAGCTAGGATTACAGGCGTGAGCCACCGCGCCTGGCCCCAAACCAACATTTTAGCAAAAAGTTAACTAGACTCTTCTGGGTTCAATTAGAAAAAGATATTTCATCTTAAAAATATTTTACTTGCTTATGTCAGAGAATTGTGGCAATATACCAATTTTATTAGCAGAAGAATTATACTGCCTGGAATTGGCCTAATAAATACACAAGTGTTTAATGTCTGGCAGGTAAATGACATTTCCTTAAAGATGAGACTTTGTGCTGTGTACAACTGACCCAACTGTACATGTGAGCCCTGGAACTCATCCACCTAAGTCCTGAAATATTGGCTGCTTCCTGGTCTCCTTCAAGCAGGCCTTACCTCTGTGATAGGGTGAGGAGAGGAATTTAGAGAGGCACTTTTAAACGGAGGCCAGTCAAAAGTGAGGCTTTAAGGGGTCTGTGGATTCCCCGAAATTGCGTGCAGGAATTTTTTTTTGCACACATGCATATTTCTATGGTGACACACCCTAGCTTTTATCACAGTGAGGTGCATGACCCCAGAGAGGATAAGAACTGCTGCTTTAGGGGATTACCAGCATGAATGAGTCCAGCCTGCCTTGGGCCATGTGGGAACGTGGCCAGGCTGCCTCCCTAGACTTGCTAATGGCTCTTTTCCACCCTCTAGTGCTGACCGTGCGGGCTGCCATCCCCATTATCATGGGCGCCAACATTGGGACCTCGATCACCAACACCATCGTGGCGCTCATGCAGGTGGGAGACCGGAACGAGTTCAGAAGGTAGGAGGCTCAGAAACCAGCTTGTGTTCGATCAGGCCCGCCGCGTTTGGCCACGCTGTTGTAAAAGCCTGTAACTAGCTGGTGAGAACGTGCTTGTCACGCTCACTCCGGAGCGCCTAGAACTAGCCACAGGGGATGCAGCTAGGATTGAATCACCTACTTCCCAGTAGATTAAACCCAGCTCCCTGGTCTGCAGAGCAGGGATAATAATGTCTGTCAGCACTGTACTGTCTTCAGGATTAAACACAAGCATGTACGTAGGCGTTTAGCAAAGTGCCTGGCACACAGTCAGAGCTAGAAACTCACCTGTTGGGTGGTGGAGTTGAAACGAAGGCAAGTTAGGGTAGGATTTATTGTTTCGCTTAGCCATAAATAATTACAACTTATTACAACTTTCACTTTTGGCCAGTTCAACCTGCACCATTTTTTTCTTTGTTCTTCACTTACATATCAATAAAAGGCAAAATGTAGTTGTTGTGGATGCATAAAACCCGAAAATAGAGCGGATTGACTATTGGAAACTCTTTCCAAAAAGATTAATGTGAAAATTAGGTACATTTCCTGGCCTCTTCTCTACTATGATGGGCTCCTTCCAGAGTTTATTAAAATACGGAAGCAGTTCCCATCTTGTCTATGTGGTGCGATCGCCCTGCTGCTCAGGCAGACCCCTTACCTTCCTAGAACAATAATTACTCTAATATAAGGCTCTAAAAACATCTTGACAAACTACTAACAAATATTTGTATCATTTTACACGACCTCAGCAGTGTTTGAAAGTGTCTTTAATCGCCCTCTCCAGGAAGAATACAAATACCTTAAAAAATAAATATTCGCTAATGTGATAAGTGAAAATTTATATGATAAGTAAATACATTGCAATTGTCTTTTATTACTAGTGAAGTTAAGCATTTCCCCACTTGTTTATTAGCTTTTATCTGTTCACATCCCACATTCTGTTTGGTTTAGGGTGTCTTTTGACATGCAGATTTTTTAAAAGGAAACCCTTTTCGTTGGGGGTGGGGGGGAATGTCAAACAGAGTTTCTTAATCTGGAGATAGGATGTACCTGAGGAGGAATCTTTAGACCTCCTCAGATAGATGCAAAATGTGGTATGTATTAGCCTTGTTTCCTGTGGAGACTATTCATGTATTTCATCAGACTCTCGAGATCTTAAAGAAAAGGTTAACAATTCATTTGCATAGAGGGCTTTGATGGTTACCTTCATACAGATCCCCACCCATCCAAAGGAAGGTTGCCTTCAATACACGTGATTCAAAAGTAGTCTTTTTTCTTTTTCTTTTTTTTTTTTTTTGAGACAGGGTGTTGCTCTGTCCCGTGGGCTAGAGTGCAGTGGCATCATAGCTCACTGCAACCTCAAACTCAAGTGATCCTCCTGCTTCAGCCTCCTGTGTAGCTATGACACTATGCTCAGCTAATTTTTATTTTGGTAGTGACAGGGTCTCACTATGCTGCCCAGGCTGATCTGGAATTCCTGGCCTCAAGCGATCCTCCCACCTCTGTCTCCCAAAGCACTGGGGTTACAGGCATGCACCACCCTGCCCAACCCAAGAGATGCAATTCTTCGAAACAACAGTTGCTGAGCTAATTATTCCAGCCATAACCTGCTTGTTCCCCTCAGGTTCCGCATCTGTCGAATGAGAATAGTGATGGCACCCACTTTGGGGATTGCTGTGAGAAAACAAAGATGAGGAGATCGTACATATGTGTGCCCGCATGGCTGACCCTAGCAGATGGTGGTAGATGACACAAATAATGATCCACCTCCACTGGTGCCCACGCACTTGCTGACTAACCTGGCTGTTGGGGTCCCCTCGCTGCAGGGCTTTTGCGGGAGCCACCGTCCACGACTTCTTCAACTGGCTCTCCGTGTTCGTGCTCTTGCCCCTGGAGGCTGCCACCCATTACCTGGAGATCCTGACCAACCTCGTGGTGGAGACCTTCCACTTCAAGAATGGAGAAGATGCCCCAGCGCTTCTGAAAGTCATCACAGATCCCTTCACAAAGCTCATTATCCAGGTACCCCGGCTCCTTCAGAGAGGGAAAGGCACCAACTTCCTACCCGCTCCATCTCGCACCCCTCTGAGCTGACAGAGGTAGACACGGTCTATAGACACTACTCTGTGCAAGGGAGCAGACCTTTAGGGACACTTGGCAGTGTAACTGGCCTTGTTTCCTTGACTCCCGTGATGGGTCTTTCTATTGGGATGGGGGTGCTTCTTACAACTGGACCCTTGGGGCCACTTTGTTCCCACTACTGTCCTCAACACCGGGGTGCTTACTCATGATCAAGTGTTACCCTGCTCCTGGCCAACAGGAAGGACACTTCCCTTTCCTGCCAGGAGCCATCTCAGCAACCTGCTCACTGGGCCTGTCTGCATGATCAATGAAAGGAGGCTTTGTGGATGGTGCCTTGGGGACCTTGTGCGTTCACTTTTACCTTCTGGTTTTCTGTCATTCAGTCATCCAGCAAATATCTTCTGCCTGCTTCCTAGATAGCAATGCCTGTGTTCATACGATCGTTCATTCATTTATCATGCACCTGTTAAGGTCTGGGTACCGTGCTCCACCGTGGGAGTGCAGACGGAGTGGGTCCCACTTCACCTTTGCAGGAGCCCCTCTCACCCCAACCCCCTGCATCTCTGTCCCAAATGAGTTCTGAGGACACATTGACTGTTTTCTGTCTGTTGCTTTCCTCAGCTGGATAAAAAAGTTATCAACCAAATTGCAATGAATGATGAAGCAGCCAAAAACAAGAGTCTGATCAAGATATGGTGCAAAACTTTTACCAACGTGGTGAGTGTCCAAGAATATTGGTGTGCAGGTAAACCCTGGCATCCGAACTCTAAGCAAAATCTTGCATTCAAGGTGAGCGAATAAGAAGTCAAGGGAAAGAAAAATGGGTGGCCCCTGAAAAATCAAAACTGGCCAGTGAGATTCCTTTAGGAAATGAGTCCTTGAATGCTGGATATGCTTAAACAGTAGGACAGACAGAGTCCCCTTGCTCCATTCCACCCTGTGGAGACATCGTTCCTGCCTTATCCTGTTTCCACATCTCTTGGAGAAGGCTATTCCTGGCTGCCTCTCTGCTCCCATTTTTGGAGGGACCCATGGAAATAGTCCATCACACTCTATAAGTGCTGGCAGCAGGTGGTATCTCTCACTTTCCAGACTCTTCCAGAGTGTTCCTCCTTGGAAGGCCCACAGCATCCTGCCCTCTCATATCAGGGAACCTAGCCAGCTCTTCTGCACTGGGGCTGGAGCTCACCCTTCCTTCTAGGGTGCATGCATATTTTTGGTTTTTGTGGAGTACTGCAGACTAAGAGACTAAATATAAAAATTAGATGTTTTTGAATAGTGAAGACTGATTTTGTTTGTCCCAGTTGTTTTAAGAGCTTTCTAATAAAGATGAATAACAAGTCCCCAGAGAGAAAGGAAACATTATGGATGGAGCCACTGCATGTATCAATGTGTATGGTATCTCCCCCCTGCCCTCCTCCCGTCCCCCTATTTCCCTCTAAAGCCAGTGTTGTGGACATTTGTCATGTTTGTCATCCAGACTCAGATGAATGTCACTGTCCCTTCACCTGAGAACTGTACCTCCCCTTCGCTCTGTTGGATGGATGGTGCCAACACGTGGACCACGAAGAACGTGACCCACACGGAGAACATCGCTAAATGTGAGTGGAACTCACCAGATTGGCCACCGGGGCGGGTGGCTGGGGTGCTGGATGGTGTTTCTTATCTGTGTGGGGCCCCAGTAGTGAAAGAAAGGACAATGAGAGTCACTGAGCACCTACTCTACATCAAGCAAGGAGCAGCACGCTTTCACAGAGACTGAGGGGACAGGCCCCAGGTCCTGTAGGAAGGGGCGGAACAAGGACTTGAAGCCCAGTTGCCCTGGCAACTCCATGCCACCTCAGAACTCAGCACATTCCAGAGTACTCCCTCCATGTGCCTCAGTATCCCTTTCTCAAAAATTCTGGGGAGATGAGAGCCAGATCTGAAGGAAGGTGTGGGACCCATACAGAACAGATACGTTCAACAGATACAGCGAGTCCCTACTGTACGGCAGGCCCCATTCAAGGCACTAGGCTGTGGCACTGAACAAAGCAGTGAGCCTACATGATGCTCTGATTCTTTTAAGAAGCTATAATTTTGCTCCTGGAATCTTTTCCAACCCAGACATCCTTAGTTCTTCTAATTATGCCTTATATATTCTTTTGTATATATCTGCTTCTCTCTCCCTCCCCACTTTCCTGACATTAATTCTGAGCAGTATACCTTGATACTCCAGTTATACTTTACCCAATAGAACTTAACACCTCCCATGTTCTAGGTGTAATGCAACCATTCATATAACCAGGGCTTGCTGGAATTACCATAGGGACACACTAGGACTTTGAAAAACAAGAGATTTGTTTTGGAGTTAGCAATACCCCTTACTCTGACTTGCCCCTCCTACTCCTCAAACACCTTGAAAGTATCATGAAGAAAAAATAGCATGGGCTTTAGAGGTAGAACTGGGCTGGATGCCTGGGTCTGCCCCTGACTAGTTGTGCGATTTTAAGGACCTCACTTCATCATCCAGCCTCATAAGCTCCCACTGGCCAGAACATAGTCTCAGGGGCTATACTTACCTGCAAAGGAGATGGGAAGGCCCATCTTTACTTTGCGCTGCCGTGTGTTGAGCTAATGACCAAGATCTATTAGTAGGAGAGAGAAGGATGTTGGGGAATAAAACCATGATCTGTAGCTGCGGTGACTCCACACCCTCCTGACAAGGTTCTCTATGATCTCTCAGGCCAGCATATCTTTGTGAATTTCAACCTCCCGGATTTTGCTGTGGGCATCATTCTGCTCATACTCTCCCTGCTGGTCCTCTGCGGCTGCCTGGTCATGATTGTCAAGCTCCTGGGCTCAGTGCTCAAAGGGCAGGTCGCCACTGTCATCAAGAAGACTCTCAACACTGGTAGGTGCACTGCCCCCAATTCGGGGCCTCGAGGGATGGTCACTGGGGGTGGGAGGGATCCTTAGATTCCCATCTCACAGGGGCCTCTGCATGGAGTTTCTCTGTCAGATCTGATCAGCTGCAGAAGTTAAGGTGTCGTTCACCCTGGAAGTTTTTCTTGGTGTCCTAAGTGGGATCTGGGGAGCAGTCACAAGCTTCTGCTGCGTGTTGGCAAGGTCCTGAGAAGCAGCCAGCCCAAGACCCGGATTGCCGAGAGTCAGGTTGTCCAAAGTCCTTCCTGACAGGTTGTCTAAATGTCCAGGACTTTCCTGGGTCTGTCAGGACCCCTTAGGAGGGTAACGGGTGTCCATTCTTGTCCGCATTTCCCTTCACTCTATGGAAGACAGTGTGGCTCTGGATAAATATATCAGCATCCTGAGTCACTTAAGGAGACCCCACTGGCCAGGAGCAGCTCCTGCCAAGCATGGCATCCTGGCCCGCCAGAGCACCCCAAGCCAATGATACCAGCACCCTGTGAAACTCAATCAAAACCTGCCTCCTGGGTTGTCTTGAGGGCGAGCTGAGCAACTTTGGGTGCCTGCGGGGTATGCCGCACTGATGTGGTGCCGGTGGGACGGAGGGCTGTGTTGGTAGGGTTGTTCCAAGCTGCTTTGTTTTCTCGATGCTCATTAAGGTGGAACGAAAGCGCAGCGATGGGAGACCAGAGCAAGGGAGGAAGTGAGGGCTAAGTACTCTTAGCGCTTTGTGGGAGAGCGGGCTCCCTGTTTCTAACCTGACCTCCAGGGAATCTGCACTTCTGTCTTCCTAACACTCACCCACATCCTTGGTTTCACCATCTGGATATGCAGGAGGAAAGACTGGATTCTAAAATTCCAATCTGCAATCTCAGACCACGTATGGAGTGGGGAGGTGTCTACACAACCTCACGCTCTATCTAGCCCAGCCCCAGTCCTGAGGTCCTCTGGAGGTGCCAGCTGCACCTCCCCAGAGGCACTGAGATCCCTTCTCCTTTTGTCTTCCAGATTTCCCCTTTCCCTTTGCCTGGGTGACTGGCTACCTGGCCATCATCGTGGGGGCAGGCATGACCTTCATCGTGCAGAGCAGCTCTGTGTTCACGTCTGCCATGACCCCGCTGATTGGTGAGTTTCTTCTCCCCGCCTTCATCCTCTGGCATCCATTGCCATTTCTTGTCAGCCCCCGGGGCTGATGCCGTGTGTCGTGTGTTTTCCCTGCAGGTATCGGTGTGATAAGCATTGAGAGGGCGTATCCACTCACGCTGGGCTCTAACATCGGCACCACCACCACCGCCATCCTGGCTGCCTTGGCCAGCCCAGGCAACACGTTGAGGAGTTCACTCCAGGTCAGGACGTGCTGCACGGGGCAGGGGCTCTCTGTGCATGGGAACCAACCCCATCAGTGGTCTTGCAAACCAGTTTCTAACAAGAGCCAGCCATTTCCCTGTCATGTCCAAAAGGTGGAACTAAGATGTGGAGGAGAAGCCACAGGGAGACAGATTTGAGCAGCTCCATATGAGAACAGTCAAAGCCATTACTCCTGAGGGAGGCAGTTAGACCTGCACACTGGCTGTTGCTTAACAAAGGTGGGGTGGTCACTTGATAGGGACGCAGAAAGAGAATATAGGAAGCGCAGACACCACCTGCCATCTTCTCACCACTCCCTTGGGGGGCTCTGCCTGGGTAGCAGGCAGAGGTCACCTGTGCCATGGGCCTGGCCTTTCAAAAAGAATCAGGGGGACCTGCCTTGCCCGGCTCAACAAGGCTACTTTGGATAGGACCTTTGGGATTTGAATCCTTATCCCACCATCCGTACACCAAGGGGCCTTCGACGAGTGACCGAACCTCCACATCAATTCCGGGATTTGAATCGCACCCCTACCACCTCCACCTGTGTGACTTTGGGGAACTAGCCTAACCACACGGTGACCCCATCCTCTCATATGTCAAGGAATGAGGGTCACCACTTCGTAGGGTGTTTTTGAGGATTGAAATAATTCACATAAAGTACACTGCATGTAGCAAACACTCTAGACATACTTGCTGCTGCTTTTTTAGTAGCTGGAACCATCCTTCCCTTCTCGCTACGCTTTTTAGAATGGACCATTGAGCCAAGGAAGCAGTGACCCTATAAGCTTTTCTTTCTGCTGCACCTGCTCTTAATGGCTCCGCCAAGGCCCTGGGCAGCAGTGGGCTGCCTTGTTAGACTGGGCCTAAAGGATGGCGGGCCCTTGAACGCTGAGCTGGGATTCAGCCCGCTCTCCCCCTGCCCTCCTGCCCCCCTCCTAGACACCTAGTAGGTCCTCAGGGAATGCAGGTCCCCTGGGCTGAGCCATAAAGACCCAGAAGGGCCGTGGCTGGCCTGACCCCCGCCCCGCCTCAGCCCAGGCAACAGACCCTGACCCGCCCACCCTCTTGCCTTGCAGATCGCGCTGTGCCACTTTTTCTTCAACATCTCGGGCATCTTGCTGTGGTACCCCATCCCGTTCACCCGCCTGCCCATCCGCCTGGCCAAAGGCCTGGGCAACATCTCCGCAAAGTACCGCTGGTTCGCCGTCTTCTACCTGATCTTCTTCTTCTTCCTGACGCCGCTGTCGGTGTTCGGCCTCTCGCTGGCCGGCTGGCCGGTGCTGGTGGGCGTGGGGGTGCCCATCCTCTTCATCATCCTCCTGGTGGTGTGCCTCAGGCTCCTGCAGTCCCGCTGCCCCCGCATCCTGCCCAAGAAGCTCCAGAACTGGAACTTCCTGCCCCTGTGGATGCACTCGCTGAAGCCCTGGGACAACCTCGTCTCCGCGGTCACCAGCCTCTGCCAGAGGCGCTGCTGCTGCTGCTGCCGCGTGTGCTGCCGCGTGTGCTGCCTGATGTGTGGCTGTTGCAAGTGCTGCCGCTGCTGCAAGTGCTGCGAGGACCTGGAGGAGGGGCGGGAGGCGCAGGGCATCCCCATCAAGGTCCCCAAGGCCTTTGATAACATAGCCATGAGCAGAGAGGCCCAGGAAGAGGTCAAGGCCCAAGCCAATGCCCCCGGCCCAAAGGTCCTCTCCAGCAGCACCGCCTTGTAGGGGCGGCCCAGGGGTGGGGGAAGGACCTCGGGTCCCGCAAGCTCTGCTCCCTCCCCATCTGTGCACCTTCCACCACCTCCAGGAGATCTGGTCCCCATTAAGAGGAGTTGGCACCAGTCCCAACTCATTCCTGTTGGCCCAGTATATCAGCCCGCAGGTCAGTTTTATCTCAGCCTCTAGTCCCTTGGCTTTCCACTCCCAGGAGGGCAGACAAGACTGAAGGAGAATTAGAAAGCGAACCCGGCTGGACAGATGATCACGTCTGCTCCTGCACATAACTGGGTTGGTTCACAGGACCTGTTTTTCACACTTAAACCACCCTCTTCAGAAAGAAAAGGCCCAAGGGAGGAATGTATGGAAGGTTCTCAAAGATGGATATATGGGTATGTATGTGGGTATGCGCACACAGCTCAGGCAGCTCTCTCTTTTTATCAAAGTCTGGCTTCAACCAACAGTGGCTGCCCCCAACATCCTTGCCCCAGATCGGCCTGGGTTAGGGAACATAGTGTAATTGTTTGGAAACTTGGATACCACAGGTGTGGGCCTTTCTCACTTCCCAGTGCCCTCCAATTCCCTGTCAGGGTTTCTTACCTGGGCAGGTGTATTAGTCCAAGCAATTCACCTGCACTGTCTGTCCTCAGGTTTCCAGGATAGAAGCCACACCTGAGCTACAGAGAGAGGCTCAGGATCCACTTTGGCTCACGTGTTGTCTTCCTAAGAGAGAGAAGATGATCCTGTTCCTGAGCTGGACAGATGGAGGACAGGGGCAGGGAACGGTTCGCATTTGGGGGAGACTGTTATCTGCCCAAAGAGCCCCAGGTTCTTCTTAATTTGGCTAATATAGAAGCCATATTGACTGAGCTTGCTTGGTCAGGTCAGAGTCATCTTGTCGGAGCTTTTAGGATAAGATATGCAAGTTCTCTAGGCCCCTCCCAGGCACTGCTCACCTGGAATCGCGGAAGGGTTCCACATCCCCCTCTGCCTCCTCTCTTTCCCTGCAACACGACTTTCTAGGTCAGACATAGTGGGCGACTTCCTTCCTTCCCTTCACCCATCCACTGGAATCTCTTTCCAAACATTTTTCTGTTTTCCCGTAGAAGAGCTTTGGCTTTCTGCCCTTTCCATGCCTGTAAAGCTCCAGACTCTTCTCAGGGGGAGGAAGCCAGGGCCGGTGGCCTGCCCAGGAACCTGCCAGTGTAATCGGGTGTGCATGCCTGCGAGTCAAAGGGGTGTGCTTCTGCTCATCCCAGATGCCTTCTCTGTGCCTTCTAGAGCCCCCTGTCTTAGTCACACCACTGCTACTGACCCCCAATCATCCCAATTCCCTCCAGCCAGGGCCAGCAGCTTCTACCATATCGAGGACAGGGCAGTCAGTGCCACCGTGCTCCATGACCCCGTCCCTGTCCCCTCTGGCCTCTCTTGCCAGCTTCCCCCATCTTAACAGGTTGGGACACCAGACTGAGCCCTCCCTGGACAGCCCCCCCATGTAGATACCATTTCCCAAACAGAGCCATTTATACTTTATATTTATAGTCACGCACCTGTACAGCATTTTATCTAAGTTATATAGTAAATGATCAGGTGATTTGTGCTTATAGTGCTGTCATTTGGAAATAAGTCAGGGTTCTTCTATGAAATGTAAAGGAAGACCACCTTTGTATATTTTGTAATACTGCCTTTAAATGCACCTCCGTGGCCATGCCCTCACCACACGCTCTGTAAATATGTAAGTTGAACCTGGGCAGAGGCTGTGGCCATCTTTGCACTCCGATGATTTTTACGAATTGAATCCTTGTACTTATGTTGATTGTATTTTTTTACTGGTCATGGGAAGGGAGAAATAAAGATAATCAAACCCCAAAAGGAGTCTGTTGCTTTCAATTACAGGGAAATGGGGGCTTCATTGTGTCTACTTCCTAAAAACTCTTCTCTCACTTAGCAGCACGACCCTTCACCAGGGCCAGCTATGTAATTTGTGGGGCTCTTTGTTCAAAAAGCCGGGGAAAAGTGTCTGTATAGGTAGTAGAAGTGCAAAGCTTTCCTTTCTTTCAGTTTCTCTCTTGACTTGTCAGGGGGAATTTGCTATTGAATGCTGTTCTAAGTAAAGTTAAAATTTAAATTGTTGTTATGAATTTTACATCTCATCTTTATATTTTGCAATGCCAGCTTTAAATGCAAACAAGAGCTTTAAACTCGTAGGTGGAATCATTAAAATTATATAGCTCTTCTTTTGCAGCTTGTATGTGTATTTTGTTCCTACATGAACAGTGGGAACACGGCACAAAACTAATTCAGTTGTTTTGATTTCAATTCTTTTGAGACAGGGTCTCTATCGCCCCGGCCAGAGTGCGGTGGCGTCATCATGGCTCACAGCAACCTCAAACTTCTGGGCTCAAGCGATCCTCCTGCCTCAGCCTCCCAAGTAGCTGGGACTACAGGCACACACCATCATGCCTGGGTCTCGCTCTTGCTCAGCCTAGTCTCGAACTCCTGATCTCAAGCAATCCTGCCTCAGCCTCCCGAAAGTGCTAGGATTACAGGTATGAGCCACCACTCCCAGCCTGATTTCACTTCTTTATGTGTACATTTCACCAATACTCTCTACCTTACTGACGAGTAAAGAACTAAAAGGAAAATAAACCGTATGGATCATTCTTTTTTTCCATATCATCATTCTCAACCTAAGTGGTTGGCTAATAGAGGGAAGTTACGTGAATGAGAAAAGACAGGATAGGGTTCCTTAGAGGGCCTTGATTTTTGGAAGGCCATTGCCTTTTTGCTACATTAGAAGAAAGTTCTGATTTGAATGCAAAGTATGGCCTTTTGGTGCTGCCAGTGTCCTGCCTACACTCCATGCTGGTCAGAAGAATAACACGTTAAGGAAGAGCTGATTTTAAATAAGAAATGCTTGCAGATGGACTGTAAGCTGGTAGCACCTCTTTTTAGGCCAGCTGCGCTTAGAGCTGAGTTAGGCTTGCGGAGCAATGGTAAATTTGTCCTTGGGATCACTTGCAGAGCTGGGTTCCACTCCTGGCTCTCTCAGTTACTTTCCCAGTATCCATTTCTTCATCCGGAATATGGGACAGTAACACTTGTCTTCCTAGGACTATGAAAATGAAGTAATGTATGTAAATATTTAGCCCAGGGTGGGTTTACTGTAAGTGCCTGGCATATGGTTATGCCTCAAAATACAGGGGATGAGCATGCATGGCAGTTGTACAAGATACACTTCCCACGCTTGTTTGCAGTTTTCTTCCTTTGAGTGTTTCCAAAGTGAAATGCCAAGTCAAGAAGGCTGCTGTCAACCGAAGAAACAGACCAGCACTGGCCTTGGATTTATTACGGGGATGAACGGGACAGGAGTCATGTGACCGGGATGGCGGGGCGGGGTGGGGGTGGTCTGAGCACCGGGCTTAGAAGCCGCAGGAGGACAAGATGCGAAGAACACTCAGCATTTCGGAAACAAACCGTTGCTCTTGTCCTCTGGAGAGAGGCTCACATTCTAGTCCCAACCAATGGCAGTCGTGAGTGTTGTTTTAAATGGCTTATTTTTGTCAAAGTAGGAAATCAAATAGCTCTAGAGAGTTTATAACAAACAACATTGCTATGTGCTCCGTCCTCCCCAAACTCCTATCTGCCCCCCTAGAAGCTTCTAGATCCTTTCCACTTCCTGCAGTGCTTTCTTCTGGTATTTTCTAGCATGGTTATTATATGATTTTAGTGGCTTCTTAATGCAGCCATGGACCTGTTTGGCATTTAGCTCTCACCACAAAGCCACTATTAACTGCCCATTCTTCAAACCAACAGTCAATATTTACATTATTATTATTATGTAAATGTGATAAACTGCAGAACTAAATAGTGCACCAACATTATTTTCCTTCTTTAATTGTTTTCATCATTGCCTATTGTTTTCATCATGTACCTATAAATGTTTTTCCCCAATTGCTCCAAAGTGTCTAATAACCTTTTAGTTTCTTTCTTCTTTCTTGTTCATTCTTTCCTTCACTTCCTCCCTCCCTCCACTCTCTTTCTTTCTCTCCTGTCCTTTCTCTCACTCTCTGTTTCTCTCTCTTTTTCCTTCCTTTCTCTCTCTCTTTTTCTTTCTTTTTTTTCCTTCTCTGGTTTGAGTACTCAAGAAAGGGTACGAAGGAAATAAAGAGTCCATGCATGTGTGAACATGTATTTTAATCTCACACTTGACTGATAATCTGAATGCACCCATTGCCCTGGTGCATGGGAGGTGTTGCTCTTCTGTCCTCTAGAATCTCAGGGCTAAGAGACCATGAGGGGAGATGGGCCCAGCAGACAGCCAGCACCATCACCGGATGTACAAATGAGACCATCTCAAAGCATCCAGCCCCTGCCTGCCAGATGAGACCAGCAGAGCAGCCCAGAAAAGCCCATCCCAAATTGCTGACTGCAGAGTAAATAAAAAAAAAAATGGTGATTAAATTTAAGGCACCAAGTTTTGGAGTTTGTTACCCAGCCCAAGATAACTGATAAAGAATCCAGCTCTTCAAAGTGTAGACTTTGGCTTCAGTCCGATGTGTTTTCTGCACCTCATTGCTTATCCGTTGCCCTTCTTACCTCACCTCCTTGGGTTAAGTCCAAGAGTAAACCCCTATCTCCTGCCTGCAGTGGAGAAGCGGATCTACTGGTCCACCAGGGCGCATTATTTAATCATTAGCTTCCGCCTCGTGTCACTGGTATGCCATATTAGCAGCATGAATCAGCCTTCTCAGGCCCTAGCTGACCCATGGCCTGTGAGTTCAGCATAAATTATGCTACCATGGAGTAAAATTATGCCTTCCTATTTGGCTCAGACTAATTACATAGGATCCCAAGGGTGTTCTGGGACCCACCTGTTGGTGCTGAGATTACAGTTTTGCATTTTTCACTTCGTTGGAGTCAGTCAATAACATCCCTATCTTCCCTTACAGAATTTGGAATTAATTGTAAAATAAGACATAAAAGACAGACCGATGGAGACGAAAATATCCATTTTATTACCAAGGAAGCTGATTGTATTATAAGATGTGGCTTTCAAATTTGCCAGGGAATAGGCGGGGGGAGCTTACTAACAATTTCCCCTTGAATTAAACCAATTTTCTTGCCCAGTCCCAGGCAGGGGTGAACGCTGCTGGCCTCTCCACGGGAGTGGGGCCTGCCCTGAGGTGCCACAGCAGACGGGCACAAATGAGACCTGTGGGTGGGCCGGTTCCCAAGCTGAGTGTGCTCAGTCTCTTCTCCCGGGCTTGCCAGTCAGATTACCGGGGTCCCAGATTGTGACTGCTGTGGAGGCGCTGGGAAGGTTGACGATCCCCCTCTCACTTCTACTGGGAGTGCAGCTGAGTCCCCCAGATAGGCATCTCCCTGCCTCGGTCACTGACTCAGCATAGCCTGGGGAGACGGGCGTTGCCTCCACTTAATAGATAAGGCAGCAGCAGCTTCTGAGAACTTAGCAGATGGCTCCAGATGACAGCATCAGAACCCTGAGCCCGACACTCCGACCAGGGAATTGTGCTTCCTGGTGACTCACGGACCCTCAGGTACTCACGGTTATGAAAGCAGGGCAGACGTGTGGGAGTTGAAGTTTCAAGGAGTTCTGGAAGGAGAGGCTTAGGGAGAAGAGGTGGAACAGGCCGGGTATAAGGGACAAAAGGCATGGGACTCAGTCTTACCCAAAGTCATAAACATGTACCAAACATCCGCCACTTTCTGTGTCAGTCCCTTAGGCCAGCTCCCTCATCCTCGGTGGCTTGGTCCTTGCATCTCACAACTGAGTGACATCTATGTGGGACACATCATATGTCAAGGCGGGAAAGTCACTTCCCAAATATCTAGGGCCGAGAGGAGAAGGGAAGGAGGTTCTCACTACACGCCACCTCGGAACCAGGTGGGCATTTGAGCTTGGCTGGTGGAGGGAGGAAGGTTATGATCCCATAGAGCCAGTGGGGAAGCTTTGGTCAGGAACTGTGTCCACTCCCTGCCCTCCTCCTGCCCCCAGCCCCTCCAATCTGTCTGAAAACAGTAAGGAAGTCTTGTTCCTTCTGTTAAAACTATTAAATGGGAGACCATTTGATTGATGTGACACAGGTACCCTTGGATCCTATGTCAGCAAATCAAAACCTAGCTGAGAATTTAAAAGAAAATGAAACTTAAGCTCAGCCAATCACAGGAGGCCAACTGGACATTGGTTATCTTTTTGTTTTTTTTCTATCTCTTTGGTAGAGATGGGGGTCTCACTCTTGTTCAGACAGGTCTCGAACTGAACTCAAGCAATCCTCCTGCCGCGGCCTCCCGGCAGGAGGAGTGCTAGGATTACAGGCATGAGCCACGGTGCCCACCTGGCATTGGTTATCTTATCATGAACTTCCCACTGGGATAGTCCAAGAAATAGCTCAAACTTTAACCAATCTAATAAGACCTTTGCTTCATTTCTGCATTTACCGTATAAAAACTTTCCCCTCGGCCTCTGCCTAATTTATGAGTAGTGATAGTCTGCTCAAATACACTTTAAAATTTTAACGTGCCAAAGTTTATTTTTTAACACTTCTTTGACCCTCCTATCATACTCATTCTTGCTCCCCACCAATAAAGAGAAAGGAAAATATTAAGAATGTGGTGGAGGGAAGGCATCAGGACATGTTTTTAGACAGAGCAAGAAGTTTGGACAGAGGCAGGCCTAGCTGTTGGTGGCCCTGGCTAAGCCAAGGAATGTTAGCTGTGATCATTAACCTCCTGCTTCCCACCCCTGAATGCGTTTCTTCCTGAACGCCAGACCCAGATGGCTGCTATGGACTGAATATTTGTCCTCTCCAGAATTCGGGTT